TCTCTCTCTCTCTCTCTCTCTCTCTCTCTCTCTCTCTCTCTCTCTCTCTCCTCATAGCAATTCTATATATTTCCTCCAAGCTTTGCTTCTTCTCCGGACCATGTTCCCCTATCACTTGTGTCCTATGGCTTCCTTAAGGGCAGGATAAAGGATCTTTAGAGTGCCTGACAGAAAGCACTAAGTACATCTGAACGCACCCAGGCCCATATGGGAAATGAGTATCAAGGTAAGTTACTGTGTTGGAATGAGGACTGTTGTTAGTGTTTAATGCCACCCAGCCAGCCTATGGAAGTAATGAGGAAATTTTCTCATCCAAGAGGTGGATTCTAAATCCTGTGCCTTTTTCTCTCTAGGTTCCCATAAAGTCACTCTGTCTTCTTGGTACCACGATCGAGGCTGGGCCAAGATCTCTAACATGACATTAATCAACGGAAAACTAAGGGTCAACCAAGATGGCTTCTATTACCTGTATGCCAACATTTGCTTTCGGCATCACGAGACATCGGGAACGGTACCTACAGACTATCTTCAGCTGATGGTATATGTTGTTAAAACCAGCATCAAAATTCCAGGTTCTCATAACCTGATGAAAGGAGGGAGCACGAAAAACTGGTCAGGAAATTCTGAATTCCACTTTTATTCTATAAATGTTGGAGGATTTTTCAAGCTCCGAGCTGGTGAAGAAATTAGCATTCAGGTGTCCAACCCTTCCCTGCTGGATCCGGATCAAGATGCTACGTACTTTGGGGCTTTCAAAGTTCAAGACATAGACTGAGACTCGTTTTGTGGAGCATGAGCATGGGTATCCTAGATGTTTGGAAACTTCTTAAAACACGGATGATGCATATTCATGCGTAAGACTACTAAGAGGCATGGCCCATGTTGTATGTAAGACTACTAAGAGGCGTGGCCCACGTTGTACAAAGCTTACGGACCTCTCTCTCGACCCTGTACAGGTCATGCATATGTAAAGTCCATAGGGGATGTTAGACTCATGGTCATTACACAATGTTTTTACAATTTTGTAGTGAATTCCTAGAATTAAACCAGATTGGGAGAAGTATACTGATGCTTATGACAAATTACATGCGAGCTATGGAAGGGGTCATAGTCTCTTGGTCTAAGCCCTGGACGTGTACCATTGAGAACCTCGAAATGAAGAGGGTGCCACTTCATTGTCAAGAGATGATGGTTTAAAGGGTTAAGTTCTTTTGAATTGTTACATTGCGCTGGAACCTGCAAATAAGTTCTTTTTTTCTAATGAGGAGAGAAAAATATATGTATTTTTATATAATATCTAAAGTTATATTTCAGGTGTAATTTTTTTCTGTGCAAAGTATTGTAAATTATATTTGTGCTATAGTATTTGATTCAAAATATTTAAAAATGTCTCGCTGTTGACATATTTAATGTTTTAAATGTACAGATGTATTTAACTGGTGCACTTTGTAATTCCCCCGAGGGCACTTGTAGCTAAGGGGGAAGAGTACTGTTTCTGGTGGCCACGTGTAGTTTGTTTTTTTATTCTTTTTTTTAACTTAATAGAGTTTTCAGACTTGTCAAGTCTTTGCAGGCAAAAAAAAAAAAAAGTTAAAATGAATACCTTGAATAATAAGTAGGATGTTGGTCACCAGGTGCTTTTCAAATTTAGAAGCTAATTGACTTTAGGCGCTGACATAGCCAAAAAGGACACATAATAGGCTACTGAAATCTGTCAGGAGTATTTATGTAATTATTGAACAGGTGTCTTTTTCTACAAGAGCTGCAAACTGTAAATTTTGTTTCTTTTTTTTTTTTTTAAATAGAGAAAGTACTGTGGTTTATCAGTCAAAAAAACAATCCACTTTTTAATTTAGTGAAAGTTATTTTATTATACTGTACAATAAAAGCATTGTCTCTGAATGTTAATTTTTGGTACAAAAATAAATTTGTACAAAACTTGCCTACTGATTTTTGTTCTTGTTCTCTTTCGTGTGGGTCTTGCTCTGCGATCCTGTTCTTTCCAATATGATAATGTGGCTTCTATCTTTCTCCAAAGGTTACTGGGAGAAGTGCAGATTTAATTAAAAACTAGGAACAGATTCAATTAAATTAATGAACCTTGGAATTTGAAAAATAATTTGCAGGGGATTTGTATGCAAGGATGTAGCCAGAGAGAAAACTGGCTCTTCACTCAAAAAAAGTAAAGTTTGCTCTCCTTGTATCATGAAAAAAAATATGGTGCTTTGAGCTGGAGGAAATCAGCTTGCTTTCCCTTCTGGTAGTAAAGGGGGACTCACTTTGGCCTGGATACATTTCCTCATGGAAATCTGTGTGGATGAGTTGTCTAAACCACAGTGGTTACCCATGAAGGGCAGAAAGAAAACAGTCAGCCTGGGCAGACACAGGAAGCCGTTATTTGAGATACTCGTCATTGGAAGATAAAGGTTTTAAGATGATGACAGCCTAGAATGGAAGAAGGAATAGCAGATTACAGAGAAGAAATGGTAAATTTTAACCGGCAGAACTATCGTGGTGGGATCCAATGGCATTGGCCACATATACAAACTATTTCACATCTGTCAGTAAACCTGAGTCTGAACAGTGGAAAACATGACCTGGGTGTTGTGCGTCCCGGTGGCTGCTGCTTGTTCTAAGGGAGAATTTCGATGAGCAGCCGCGTTTCTGTAGTTTCTGCAGACACAGAATCTTGGTGCAGCCTCATTAGCTACCCAGCTTATAGCCTGCTCCTGCAGCTTCCGCTTGCTCATTTCATATTAATTTGCTGAGCATCAGTGCTGTGCTAGGCACAGTTCTGGGCACCATGGTTACTATGGCAGGTCTCCCAGACCCAGGATCCCATTCTAGCGCTGGTTCTGCTTATGCTAGATGTGGCAAGAAGCACGTCCTGCTTGATTCAAATCTTGGGAATCTCAGAGTCTAAAATTAAACATCAGGTAGGAAATGGAACAGAAGTCTACAATGTGGACACAGAATATCCACTATTAACTTTTACTTGGGGGTAGCATGTTAGTTATTTTTGAACTATTGTGATAAAAGCCTAAAGTAAACGCCTTAGGGGGAGGAAGGTTTATTCAGGCTCAAGATTTTAGAGGTTTCAATCCATCCTGCTGGGGAGAGTGGTGAAGCAGGGCAGGGGCAGTCAGGGAGCAGAAAGCAGGCCCACACTGCAATTGGCTCTTTCCCTTGGTCCTCTCAGGAAACATCCATGCTGACATGGTGTACCTTCCTGATTTAGGTGCTTCTCAATCCAGACTAGCTGACCCTCAAAATCAGCTATCCATCAAGAATAACCAACTTACAGTCTCTCAAAGATGTAGGGATAGAATGTTGGATCTCCTGAGGTGATTTGTGAGGACCATCCAAACTGTGAAACAACAGTTTCACATGATGCCAAGAGGAGCCTCCACGGAAGACCTGAGGGATTCAGGCACAGTGTGATGGGGGAGGGGGGTATGAACACTATGGCACCTGCAGATCCCACGTTGTCAGTGGTTTTAAGAGGATAATGGCAGAGATGGGTCATAGCAAGAGGCAAGAAGCCACCTCTCTTCCAGTCATGCCTCAGTTTGCCAGGCTATTAGCAGCATGTTCTAAGTGGGTTTAAAATGCAGATGGGAATACAGAAGGCTTCCTTGCTTTCTTCTCTTCCTTTTGGTTAGCTTTCTCGTACATCTCTTTCTTGTTTCTGCTCTCTATAATTTAACTCTCCTATCCTCTGTCTGCCCAGACTCCCATGTCTCTCTTTGTCCTAGTTTGCTTTCTGTTGCTGTGACAGAAACCACAACGAGAGCAACTGGGGAGGAAAGGGTTTATTTGGCTTACATGTTTCAATTGCAGTCCATCAGAGAGGGAAGTCAGGGCAGGAGCAGAGACAGAATCTAGAGGCAGAATCTGAGGCGGAGGCCATAGTGGAACACTGCTTACTGGCTAACCTGCTCTCTTATACCATCAAGGACCTCCATCCCAGGGGTGGCAGCACCCACAGTGACCTGGACCTTCCTGCATCAATTGTTAATCAAGAGAATGTCCCACAGAATTTCTCAGAGGGTGATGGAGATAATTCCCCAGTTGACATTCCCTCTTTCCAGATATGTGAAAGTCTGTGTCAAGTTGACAAAACTAACCAGCATACTCATGGTCCTTAGGGAATAAGGAGGCTGTCGTGTCTCCTTGAGATGAGACTGGAGTATGTCCCCACCCTGCTACAACTGAATCAGGGGGAGGTGTGACAAAGCAGTGTCAGGAATCCTGTGTCTATTGGATGTAGTGGATCTGAGCTGCTGGCTCATTTTACCTGCTGCATTTCAGCCCTCTTAACCTGCCAAGTCTGGGGAAGGAAAGCATGCCAGGTCCCAAGTTATCTGTCTTCCTGAATCAATTTTTACAACCACACCAGGCCCATGCATCCAAAAGACGACGTGAAGCGATTCTTAGTGTGTTTGCTTTCTCCAAGGTCTCTCGATTTTTGTCATTCATTTGCAAAAAAATAAAAAACTGCATTGGTGTTTTGTCTACAGCTATAAAACAAGTATCCTTTTTACTAATAACATGCCTATGTCAATTTTTTTGTTCTTTTTTAACTTTGAAGATGTTGTGTATGTGTGTGTGTGTGAGTGTGGGGGGGGAGGGAGAGAGGGAGAGAGAGAGAGAATGTTCTGGGGCCAAAGGAGGCCTTCTGATCCCCTAGACCTAGAGTTATAGGCCACTGTGAGCAGCTTGATGTAGGTACTGGGAAACAAATTCAGACCTCCGAGTGTGCTCTTCAGTGCAAAGTCATCTCTCCAGCCCTGCTTTCATTTTGGTAACTTGAAATTCTATTGGGGGCTCGGTACTGTGGCATCTTAAACAACGTTCCGGCTTTTCGTTTTAATTAGACATGGCCTGAACCAGGAGTGTTGGCTTCTGAGCACAGAAGATGGGTGTCCCAGATCAAGCAAAGAGCACAAATGGCTTTTCTTCTAGCTTTACTCAGACCTTCAGTGGATCAGATGCTGCCCACCCACGCTGGGGTAGACAATCGCGACTCAGCAGATCAATTCCAGAAATAACCTCACAGACACACCCAGAAATAGAGTGTCTGTCTGTCTGAGAGTCATATTCAGTTATGGATTTGCCTCATAAAATTACTTATCATGCTACACTGAGGACGCTGAGTCACCTATAACATAGCTTAGATTTTTTTTTTAATTTTAGAAGCCCAAATGCACTTGGATGATGGCAATATTACTTCTCAACTTGATGGGGTTACCATGGAAACAAATCTCTCTGATCATGCCCATGAGAGAGTATCTAGATTAAGTTTGTTGAAGTTAGACTAGCCTTGAATGTGGGCAGTACAATTCCCTGAGCTGAGTTCACATTCAGGTCAGTAGTCATTAGGAGCGTCTGGCCCGTAGGGATGAGATAGAACAGTCTCGGGGATGGGATTCCATGTTAACCCAGGTTACACGGCCATTAGTACCAGCATCTGTTTAGCTCAGAGTGTGTGGCTCAGGAGGAAGACTGGCAGGATCCACCGGAAATCATTCAGACGCTGAATGGCTACCAAGACACCAGGGGGCGCCACGTGCCTGTGCGCCCTGGGCAGAGAGACAACTAAGACCCTTGTAGGGTGGATTTTCAAAGTTTCCACGAAGTCCTGTCCTTGAAACTATGATGAGCTGGTGGCCTCTGAATTGGTATGGCCGCTATAACATATAACAAACCTGGTGGCTTAGAACTGCAGAAATGCATTCACTTCTGAAGTAGGAGACTGAAACAAAGGTGCTGGCGGTGCCATAACCTTCTGGAGATTCTGAGGGCCAGTTCTTCACCTCCCTGGTTTCCAAGGATTCAAGGAGTTCCTAATACCTTCCTTGTTCCAAATTCTGACACTGCCCCGTCTTCACACATCTCCGTACCTCTGCTTTCCAGTCCTCCATCTGCACTCGTTATTTTATTTCGTGTGTGGGCACCAGCATACCACAACTGGAGTACGGAGGTGAGAGGACAACTTCTTCGGGACATTGTTCTTCAGCTGGGTCCTCGAGCTTCATTCACATCAGGGCACCTCCTCCACCTACTGAGCCACCTTACCAGCCTCATCTTTTCTTTCTTATAAAGGCACAGGGCATGAGATCTAGGCCCCCCTCTGACCTCATCTTCCTTTACTGTCTAACATCTTCAATGACTCTTTGACTAAGGAAAGCCACATTCACGAGTTCCAGAATTTATAGGCCCTCGACATGTCTCTCAATAGGACTCACCATTCCACCTACTAGACTCTCTCAAGTGTCATGTCTAAAGTCCCAGCCACTCTGTTGCCAGCCACCCTCCTCTCCTCCCTTTTGGGGCTTTGGCTTGAGGGAGGGATTGGGCACGAAAAGACTGTGATTATGAAAATAATAAGCAAGATACAGAGCGATTGCACATTCCTATGTCTGCAAATTTCTAAAAATGCGGAGGCAAACCCCAGAGGAGGTTCACAAACACCAGCATGTAACTGTGTTGGAGAGGTGGGATTATGGGTGTTTTCTTCTTGTTGCCACGATGTTGTTAACAGTGCTATTGAAGTCAGTAGTA